TTGTGTTTCGTACTATTATATTATATCAAATTTTGCACTTAATCATGAACCTTTTGTACATAATAAAATAATAGATAACATTACATTACAATACAAAACTAAATAAATAAATATTTTTTTCTTCATTAAGTGCAATGTACCTTACTAAATAAATTATAAACATTTTTAAATTGATAATCTTCACGTCTATTTTGTTTTTTTAGTTTAATTTTTTCATAGTGACTAAAATATGTAGTACAAAGTCTTTTGCATTTCCCATTCATTTATTATTAGATAATTAAATTCCAACAGACAAGACATTAATGGCCACAAAAGGTGGCTTAATTGCTATTTAATGGAAACAATAAAATTAACGGTGAAAAATGANAATAAAACTAACGGTGAAAAATGATTTTCCTTAAAACAACCAATTCCATTAGATTTGCCGTTAAAACAAGAATATCCGTTTCATAGGCACTTTTTATATATAGAAGATTTATATATTTGTCTTTAAGAATTTTTTTCTTGAAAGACTTGTCTTGAATGAGTGATTTTTATCTTGACCTTTTTTACTAGTCCGATTTGTGATAGTCTTGATTTTGATCTTCAACGATGATCAATCAACTTATCATTGGATGTTTTGAAGATTTTAATCACTTTAAATTTAATTGTTAGTAAACAAGATTAACTTGTTTATTATAATAAACCATATGTTAACAAAGTCGTTACAATTTTTTAAATTAATACAACAGGTGCCAATTATTCCAAGACGATCAAGAATACGAGTAAAATGAACACATGAAATAATTAAATCCAATAATATTGATAATCAAACTTAAAGTTTAAAAATTAGGTTACATTGTTCGTTCTAGTTATAGATACTTACGCATCAAAGGAGAAGAGAAATATAAGAAAGTTGAATTACATTGCCAGATTTTGAAGGAAAAATGAGAAAAAGTTAGATGGTCTTGAACCAAGAATCGCATTCTTCCTGACGAAATCTTGAAAACCCTAGTTCTCTCTCTCTCTCTCTCTCGGGAAGGGGGTTTCTGGTACACTTATTATCGAGTAATGTTATTTAACACTTATTAACACTTGCTCAGGTAACAATATTAGTGATATTAAATTATATGTTCAATTAAATAAAATGATTTATAATAGGACATATGATATACTGATACCTAAAATAGTGTTCAACATCATTGTTGCTAGATAATATTATTTTTTATTATCATTTAATTTGACCTAAACGAGATCCAGTAAGAGTATATTGGGAGTTATACCTCGAAAAGGAGTCCGAAAGGTAAAAAAAAAAGTACAAAAAATATATGAAAAAATAGCATGAAAATCCCTAGTCGAACACAATGACATAAAAAGAAGAGAAATGATATATGTACCCGGGGGTTTACACCTCGGGTTACTCGACCCCACCGCCCCCCTCACAATGGGGCCCAAGGTGAATTAAATAATCGACGGGCTCCCCATTGTGAGAGGGGGGTGGGATCGGATAACCCGGGGTGTAAACCCCCAGGTACTTGTAGCAAAATCCTAAAAAGAAATTGTTGGACAGCGTTTCAACCACAGTTTGCTTACTATGGTTGGTTGCGGTCAACACTGAATGATGCATTGTGTTTCATTTTGGTCTCCACTATCGATTTTTCTTACATTTTTATTCTTATTTCAAGTTTTTAATTTGATTTTGGTCAATTTTTGTCCAAATATTCATACAAGTTTGATCCTTTCTTCCGCTTTCTCTTTTATTACTTCATATCACTCATGTGCGATTGATCAATATTCAATTGCTATGAACCAACTCCAAATAAGCTTAAAATCATCACTTTTGCGTAAGATGCATCCAAGATCATATTTTACCTTCAATGATCATATTTAAAAATTCGCTCAATCAGTAATTATCTATCAAGTTTAAAAACATTTATAGACATGTAAAACACACTTATCAGTTATCCACCAGCATGTTGAGGGTTATGTCCATTATACAACATAAGCCTCAAATACTGGCAATTCAACACATATATACAACGGTAGAGCATTCATTATGAAAACAATGGTTGCTAGATAGAAAGGAAATTCAATGGGGGTACTTCGTCATATAACTATGAACCTTTTTAAGGCAACATGAGAGAAGAAGGATGACTTCCTCTCGTGGTTCTTGAAGAAGATATTGTAAAAATTATATGACATTAGAGAAGAGTTCAACTAGAAACACATGAAAGAAAGAATGATTAAAGGCGTGTATTGACATATAATCATCTTTTGCCATAAAAACACAAAAGAAGATAATTAATGCACAAGGAGAAAATACATAATAACTATGGGATGCACAATGGTATACATGGGCTCAAAGGTGTTTTGCAATTTTTCTTGTTGAAATCAGAATTAAGTTGCTAGCTAACTCGGCATGGCCATTGGAAGGTGTTTATTTTGGAAGTGGAACTTTGCTTCTTTGATATCGTAGACGTCAAACATATCGTGACGCCTACGTTGGGATTTGTTAACTCCCACAATTTTCTTGCATAGATGAATGAGAATGTTGCAATGCAGTTGTGACAATTTTACCATTACCGCTCGTTGATCAAATTGTTGCCACCGTTGTCAAAATCACTGACATCAATGCCTCAACCATCATGAAATAATTTCCATCCACGATGACCAACAGAAGTTAATATTTCAGCGAGTTTCACTAACTTCAAGAATAATTTCATAATTTCCATCTATGATTATTTTTATAGATACAAATACTGTCATCAGCAAATGAAAACTCCATCATGATGCCACATTTTATTATTATTCTTGAAAAGGACCATTCGAAGTTTTTCCTAAATTTCACAAATTGCGAGATAGAGGTATGGATCGAGACGACAATTGGAACCTTGAATGACAATAATCTAAAACATACATAGAATTGGGGTGCCACTTTCAACAATTAAGATTACACTTTGCTATTATCGAAGGTCCTCCAGCAAGAGCAAGCTAATCTAAAAAATCACCACATATTCTAATTGCAGTATGCAACTCGAAATACTCGCGCATTGTTGGCTTTATTATTTTTGATTAAGTTGTTGTGAAGGAAAAAGAGAATATAAGTAATCTTCAACAATTGATTGTTACACGAGATAAAAAAGAAAAAAAAAGAAGCACAAAATGCTTCCTATAACAAAAACTCGTTGCACAATACTAATTTTGTTCCGACGCAAAGCCTAAAAGTGTATCATTGGCATTTAAATTATTCCTCTCTTTGAGACCACTCTAAATCAATTTTCTCCAAAATTGATTTTCAACCTCACATCCTCTACTAACATAATTTTGCATGAAAACTCAAGAATTTTTCTTCATTTTTAATCCCATATTTTTAAAAAAAATTATTTTTTCACAATCGAGTCTAAAAAATGGGACTCAAACCGAAGCTATATAAAAGTTTGAATGTAAATCGGTACATTAAACAAAAAGTTCAAAATAATTTAATAACCATCAATTTGATCTTTAGAATAAATTTTTTTTTTTGCCAAATATCCTTAGAAAATACCATTTAATAACTAGCTCTAATATTTCATCACACAAAGAGTACCTTGCCGATAGATTATTGCATATGGTTCAATATTTATATTAAGCCCCTGTCTGGTACATATTCTTTCAAAATTCATTTTCAATCATACATTTTTCAATAAAATAATATTTTTCATCATAACAATAATTTTTCTTTACTTTTTAACTACACATTTCCCATCATATCACTATTTAAAATACATTATTTCCTCAGTAATATTCATTAAACACGCTCTAAGTCAGTGTTTGTCTCTTGTTCTTTCAAATGTCTTTTTTTTTTTTTATATATTCAGACAATAAAATATTTTACACATAAATTTAAAAAAAATTCTTACTTTTTAATCATACACTCATTTAAAAGTCACTATTCAAAACAACTTTTTTTTTTTAAAAAAAAAAAGCCCCCAAACAAGGGCTAATAAAGCTAGATTGATAATTGACCATTTTCTGAAAAATCTAAAATGTATTGAAAATTTGAAATAACTCAGAACCTCAAGATTATAAACGTAAAATCTACAAATGAGCAAATATTATTTATATTATACAAGCCGTGACCTAACAATTACCAATTCACGTGTAGGGCCGCGTGACGAGAGAGAGAGTGAGAGAGAGAGAGAGGTGGAGTCCGATAGTTTGGCCATTTCAATTTTCCGGATCTAGGGTTTTTCTTCATCGTCACATATACTGTTAAACTACTACTATCAAATCATCGTCGAACCCTATATTTGAATTCTGAATTACAGTTCGGACACATCAGGAAATCATCAATTCACCGTCACCGTCAATTATTTTGATGAAACCCTAATCTGGAGACAGTTTTACTTTTTTCTTGATTTCATCAGCAATAGATCTATAAATCTGGAAAAATCGGATCTTATTAAGAAGAAATTATCCAATTTCAAGGAACGATGATTGATTGATTGATTTCCCCTGAAATTTCACAGACTGATGAATTCCATACAGCTATATTGAAGAAGAGAAATTGGTTAAGAATTTTGATTTTTTATTTTTTTGAGAAAAATGTATGGAAAACCGGTTGTGGTTTACGAAGGAGAAAGGGTGCTGGGAGAGGTGGTAGTGTATCCAACACAGTCACAAGACGGTGTCGTATGGGGGGAGCGTCTTAAGGAAATTCGGATATCTCACTATTCACAACCCAGTGAGAGGTGCCCACCACTGGCAGTGCTTCATACCATAACGTCCACCGGAATTGCCTTCAAATTGGAGTCGTCACAGTCACCACAACATCAGGACTCACAGCTTTCGGTTTTGCATGCAACATGTATCAGAGATAACAAGGTATATTATCGCATTGCCCGCAACCAAGCACAGAATACACTTCTTCAAAAATACTGGATTAACTAAAATCCCCAAATTTAGTTCAATTGAAACATTAAAGAAACCCCAATTTAAGCAACGCTAAAAGAACCCTAATACCAACTTAAGAAAAAAAACCCTTACATTTCTTTAAAAAAAAAAAATGATTAAACTCTGATTCCGAAGTGAACCTGCAGGAAAAGTGTAAGATTCAGTCTTTCGCAAATTTTCTCTCATGCAAACTGGACTTGCTAAAGGAAGAGTGAACTTTGGACAAAATAAACAATGACGCTGGAAAAATTTACTGTGAATTTTGATGAATTGGAATGCATTTTGTAGAATTACAGGATCATGGAATTACTGCTTTGGCACGTACCAGGAATTTTTTGAGCTTTGAAGTGAATTCTATTAGAAAGAATGTCCTGGGGAATTGTTAAGCTAATTAATGAAATTGATTCTTTCTGCTGTAACACTTATGATGGCTTTGACACGCTCGAAGACATTATTTCTTTGTCGTTTATGATGATTTTTATTCGTAAATTCGGGCAAAACGCAAATTTTATTGGAACCTCTAGAAACATTCGAACATATTAAGTTTTGGACGGGATAATCCTTCCCCTCTATTAAATCCATAACTAAAGGCAGCACATGATACTGGAGAGTGACAGATCAAAAAGAACCTTTATTTAATCATAATGTTTTGATATTGCCTCTAGAATTTTTTTTTGGATGGAAAGTTTAGGCTTTTAACTGGTTACTGCTGTTATAGGTTCCCCCAAGAATATATATGAACAAAAAATCCTTCTTGTTATGTATCTTGTGGAATCTGTATGGAAGTCTAAGAAGTTTTATACTATTTTTGCTCTCAGAATGACTTTTATCTTCTTCATTTGTTTTGCCCTTTTTTCTACTCTACATGCTATAAAAAACTATCGTGTTTTATTTGGGTTCCACCTCTCATTGTTAATAATATGTATTTGTAGACTGCAGTTTTGTCACTTGAAGGAGAGGAGCTTCATTTAGTTGCCATGCATTCTCGGAAGTTTGAAGGACAGGTCTCTTGCTTTTGGGGGTTCAATGTACCATCTGGACTTTACGATTCTTGCCTTGTCATGCTGAATCTTAGATGCCTTGGCATTGTATTTGATCTCGACGAAACACTTATAGTTGCAAATACAATGCGGTCATTTGAGGATAGAATAGAGGCCTTACTGCGAAAAATAAATTCTGAATCTGATCCACAGCGCGTTGCTGGTATGATGGCTGAGTTTAAGCGTTATCAAGATGACAAAAGTATTTTGAAGCAATATGCTGAAAATGATCAGGTAATTGATAATGGGAAGGCAATCAAATCGCAGTCTGAATTGGTTCCAGCTTTGTCAGACAATCATCAACCTATTGCTCGACCCCTTATACGCCTGCAAGATAAAAACATTATTCTCACTCGCATTAATCCTCTGGTACGTGTACTGCATCTTGTTTCTCATATAATACTAATTTATTCAGCTATGTCTTGTTATGTTGGTCTAGTGAGATTTTTGCTCTTGTAGCACTTAGTAAGAGAAGTTTAATTTTCAACTTTGATTTCTGCTATTTGTTGGGCGGGGTGTGGTAAAGCTGGTGGTGGCATACTGGCAGATATGAGGTAAATTTACCTAATAGTTTAGATAACTATGTACCCATTTCGGCCATGGTAACGAATTCAAGTAGATTTGATGTGCTTGGTCCTTTTTGTCATATAATGAGTTTGATATGTGATATTGTAAGTTACTTTGTTTACTGCAGATACGTGATACTAGTGTCCTTGTTAGGTTGAGGCCTGCATGGGAGGATCTTAGAAGCTACTTAACTGCTAGAGGTCGAAAAAGATTCGAGGTTTTTGTTTGCACAATGGCTGAAAGAGATTACGCATTAGAAATGTGGAGGCTTCTTGATCCAGAATCAAATTTGATAGACTCCAAAGAGCTGTTGGAGCGTATTGTTTGTGTCAAGGCTGGTAAGTTTTGATTACTGTAGCTTTAACTTCCACTTCTGGTAGAATTTGCCAATGATTACATATATAGCACATTCTTTGTATCTATTGTACTCATTCTTTTTAATTTTCAAACAGGCTGTAAGAAATCACTATTCAACGTTTTCCAAGATGGAAATTGTCATCCTAAGATGGCATTAGTGATTGATGATCGTTTAAAAGTGTGGGATGAGAAAGATCAGCCTCGAGTGCACGTTGTTCCTGCATTTGCTCCATATTATGCCCCTCAAGCTGAAGTACTTTCTATATGCAGACCATAGATAATTTTTTAAATTTATGGAAATCTAAGCTCATTCAATAGATGACATGGTTGAAAATTATGTTCCACAGGCCAATAACACAGTCCCTGTCCTATGTGTTGCGAGAAATGTAGCTTGCAATGTTAGAGGTGGTTTTTTCAAGTAAGTTTACAATGACCTTGTTATTGATGCACAAGCACTTACTAACATCAGGGGGAGACCGCTGTAGTTGTTCTTTAGTTTTAGCTCGTCAAGATTTTTGTCATTTACCTCTGATAATGTTAGTATTGGACTTGAAAAAGATATATGATGCAGGGAATTCGACGAAGGTCTCTTGCAACGGATGTCCGGAGTTGCATATGAAGATGATATTAAAGAAGTTCCTTCTCCGCCAGATGTGAGCAACTATTTGATTTCGGAGGTCAGTGAGGACATCATTCTGTAACTTGAGCCAATCGTGCAATTATATTGGGTTGTCATGCTTCTGACATTGTGAAGTGATGCTATCATTTAACCGTGTTTATGGTCATTAATATAGATTATAATGATGTCATACAATTTCTTTCTTCTTAGGACGATCCTTCTGTTTCTAGTGGAAATAAAGATTCAATTGGTTTCGATGGCATGTCGGATGCTGAGGTGGAAAGGAGGCTACTAAAGGTGCAATGTCCCATTTTCATGAACTTCTTCTGTCTACTAATTTCTTTTACTTTTCTTTTGCCGTTTGTCCTTTTCGTGTTCTAAGAACAATCTCTAATTGTTCTGTTAGCTGATTAACAACCTTAAACATTCAGGAGGCAAGTTCAGCTTCTTCAACTGCCCCCATGACAATGACAAGTATAGATCCAAGAATTGCTTCAGCTCTCCAGAGTATTTTACCTGCTTCTTCTTTCTCAGTCCCAGCAACAACTATGCAAGGGCCAGCTACATCTTTTCCCAATCAGCAATTATCTCAACTGACGACACTACTTAAACCACAATTAGCTCAACGTGGCCCAGCAGAAACAACCTTGCAAAACTCTCCTGCAAGGGAAGAGGGTGAGGTACCAGAATCTGAATTAGATCCTGATACGAGGAGGAGACTACTCATTTTGCAACATGGTCAAGACACAAGAGACCAAGCACCAGTTGAACCTCAATTTCCTGCACGACCTTCCATGCAAGTCTCAGTTCCAAGGGTTCAGGCACATGGTTGGTTACCTGTCGAAGAAGAGATGAGTCCGAGGCAACTAAACCAAGTGACACCACCTAAGGAAATTCCAGCGATTCCCGAGTCTATTCCTATCGACAAGCATCGGCCTCACCATACACCGTTTATCCATAAAGTGGAGAGTTCAGTCCCACCCGGTAGAGTTCTTCTCGAAAGCCAAAGGTTGCCAAAGGAGGTAATTCATATCAAAATTTACCTGGTTTTATAGCACTCAAGTGTATACAACAATGAATTGAAAGGACTGCTGTGGCTGACAAAGGGTACTAAATATTAATATTCTAAGGTTTCCATATGCAGGCACTGCCAAGGGAGGAACCATTAAGGTTAAACCAGTCACTGCCTAAATTTCATTCCTTGTCTGGTAAGTCACATATCCCGGATGTTTGCTTAATCAGTTTCACAAGTAAATTGGTACTTCAGTATCTCTGAGATAAAGTTTCCCATGATTAATTTGGTATATACTTATTCATAGGATTTCTTCCCATTTTTTTTTATTGTTTTTGACTTTGTAGTTGTTATTGCATGATAAAGGCTGACATTAAAACAAGGGAAATATCATATAAAGAATTACTCACCCTGTATAGAAACTGAGACATCATTCATATTTCTTTTTCTAGACAAAGATCGTCACAACGCAAGTCTTTCAGGCTCATTGATTCATCTGGCTCTTTTTGTTGTCTTTGTTAACCATGCGGGAATTAAATATGAACACGGAAAGTTATGAACGAATCGGATATTCTTGATTATTTGTAGTCATTAATTAGTTTTTCTTATAGCTCAAGTATAAACATTAACGCTTAGGGGAAATCTTAATGTCTTGCAGGGCTAAAGCTAGGGCCCCCAGCCCCCCAAGTTCTCCCCTTTTTTTTGTCTTTTGATTTTTTTAAATACTTGAAAACAAAAGACAACAAAAAAGAAACTTTAGCTTATTACATAGAATATGCTTGCCGTCGTGGGGTAAAAGTTCCTTTTTCATTTTGTTGGCTAGGGTTCAAATCCTCCTGGCCACAATCTTATTTTTTCCTTTTCATTTGGAATTTTTTTTATCCTAACCTTTATTTGGACTTTTCAATCCCCAACCTTAAGTTCCTTTTGCATTTCATTCTTTTTACTTAATTCTATTAACTTTAGCATTAAATTTTCCTCACATGAGATGCACGGGTTAACTCTTCGATGGGTAAAGTTGTCAAAACACTATTCTTTACACCTAACCTAACCTAATCTTTCAAAATTAAACATATCATTTATTTTCAATTCCAAATCTGAAAGGAAAACCCTACCTTTTTATACGCAAAAATCATGTCCAAAATTGGTTGAATGGACGGCCATTTGCTAATTACGAAAGTTTTCAAAATGCTCATACAACAAGAACCTGGTAATGGTGGTGAGTTTTTTCATTTATTTTTAGTTAACTCAAGCATAACTGTGCTTTTTTTTTTTCCGCTTATATATTGAGAATGAATTTTTTGTAATTTGTTTTTACTTTATTTTCGTATTTATGTACATGGAATACAAGGACTTCCATTTATTTTCTAAGTTTACTTCAATTTTTTGTGTTCTGTATAATCAAAGCTTGATGTTTTTATATAAATGCCGTTGATTCCTTTTTTTTTTTTGCTTTGTTATTTTCTTTGTATTTTTATTTACAGTTAACCCTAAGTTGATTAATTTTATGTTTTCTTAACAAAGTTTTTGAACAAAAGCTGTAGCTTTATAGTTTTTTTTCAAATGTCGCTGCCAGTGACAATTTTCGACCGTAAAAGGTCCCCCAAACCAAAAATCCTGGCTTAGCTTTTCTTCTTCAATTTGGGTTGCCATCCTGGGGAGAAAAAATGCATTACCTTGTTGGTGTTTACCCTGGTTTCGTGGACAAGTTTGTTTCTTATATCCCCTCTTGGGGATTTTGAAAAAGCTAGTGGAGGAATTTTTGGGTCACTTTTTCCTTAATTTCTCTATAAAAAGAGTTACTGAGCTCAAAAGAAAACACAATTCATTTCTTTGACTTATTGTAGAGTTAGTTTCAGTTGATATATCATATATGTCTTGCCTGTTCTGACAGTAGAAGTTGGTGTTTATACAACTCTTTTTAGTAAAAGATAGTGTTATGACAATATGAGTTCTGTTTTCAAGGTGAGGATGCTCCAATAGTTCATCCATCTTCAGGAAACAAGGATCTTGACCTTGAAGCTGGGCAAATAGATCCCTACCCAGAAACGCCTGTAGGAGCTTTACAGGATATTGCGTTTAAGTGTGGAACAAAGGTATGAAAACAGTTGGTGGTTCTAGCTTTCCTTGGATCCTTTCACGACTTAGTCTTGTCGCATTTGTCGTATTAATGGTTATTTTAAATATCTGTAGGTGGAGTTCAGGCACGGTCTTGTCCCAAGCTTGGAACTACTGTTCTCCGTAGAGGTGGTTTCACGGCTTCCTTCACATTTTAGTTGCATTGCAGTACTAAGATGATAATTGAGAACTAAACAATTAAGAACTGATCTTTAAATTACTAACATTTTCTCTTCTCTGGCCAAATCTGTGCGCATTGAGAATAAAACAATTAAGAACTTGTCTTTTAAATGGTAACAACGTTTTCTCTTCTCAAGCCAAATCAGTGCACCATTGATAATTTTTAAAATGTTCCCAATACCTTCGGCTCCTGATTCGTTCTGTTTTGGAAATTGTTTGTGAGTATTCAATGAGATCATATTATCTTACGGTCTTCTGCAGGTTTTATTTGCGGGACAAAAAATTGGTGAAGGAATAGGTAGAACAAGAAGGGAAGCGCAGAATGAGGCTGCTCAGGGATCTCTTATGAACTTGGCTGGTAAGATATTAATTATAGTCTTCTTGATAGTTGAATATACATTTAGGTACTGTACATAGCTTGACTATTTTCTGTGTCGCAATTCAATCTCTTTTGCCTTCATTTACTTGCCTTGAGCAAAAAAAAAAAAAAAGGAAGTTAAAAAATGCAGGCGACGAGATTGTTCTAATTATTTTGCTTCAGCTTTTGGAAATTATATATCTTTAACTTCACGTGACACATCTACTTGAGGTTGAACCTCAGTTTGGCTCCCTTTTGAATGCCAGGCTCGAAGATTGTCATGGTTCTATCTTGTCAGCTTTGGTTGATTTTAATATGATCCGTTTGAGAAAGTTTTAGGCATCGAAAAGGATAAGGGGTTTGAACACGAGAAAGTAGCTAGCACATTACTTTTGATTTTACTTGATAAAATTTCACTTTCTCTAGCACAGCGAGTCATGAGGCCCCGGTTTAGACAAAAGTTCTTCTAGAGGCTTCTCAATGCAATTTCATACATATATTTATGTGAAATTGCTTGAGAACTTAGCTGGTTATCTGCCTTTGAAACTTGAGATTTGGCATTTTCCTCTCATCCCGATTTACTTATATTTGCTCCTCTCCCTTCCCATCCCGAAACATAAAGATCATTAATTTTGTCGTTAATCATTTGCTCTGATTTTTTTGTACCCAAGTCTCAAAGTTTAAAAAGGCGAAACTAAGAATTGAAGCGGTTTTTATTTATGAGGCGAGGCGGATTGAGGCGTAAGTCTCATGAAAAAAATCTAAGTAAAAGAATTATAAAATAATACAAAAAAAATCAAATTTGGAGCATATAGTAAATATGATATATGGTTATTAGCATATTGAGATATAGTCCACCTAAAGAAAGAAGATGTTTATAAAAAAAAAGAAAAAATTACAGAAGTTAGAAATCACTCCATTTACAATGGAAAAAAAGCAGCTTAAACTAAAAANCAAGTTAGAAATCACTTCATTTGCAATGGAAAAAAACAGCAGCTTAAACTAAAAAAAAGCCTTATAGTCTTCATTATCATCACTATTACTAACATCGTTAATGGAATCATCATCATTTCTAATTTTCCCATCATCTTCCTCTTCGCTACTCTCAATTTCTACAAAATCATCTTTCTCATCCACCAATTGCAATGTGACCTCATTTTATGGGTCTTTTTAAATGGGTCATTTTCTTTTTAAAGAAGGGCCCTTTCTGATTTCTTTTTATACAATTGAAAAATCAAATTTTAAAGGCGCGCGTCTCAGATTTAGAGGCGTGATCCTCATAGTTTTAGCCTAAAAAATACCGCCTCGAGGCATACTATATGTGCCTTGCGGTGAGGTGGGCCTCACTACCGTCTTTTTAACCATGGCAAGTCTAATTATTCTCCCTAAAAGAAGCCTCCTTTTTCTTCTTATGACTATATCAATTGTATAAAATGCTTCGTTGCATAAGCACTAGTGTGCCAAAGAATATACCACCCAGTAATAAAAAATTGCTGACTTTATTGTCCAGTCTCCTGGAATTTATAAGAACTTGAAGTGTTAGAGAATCGTAATATGGGAGCATCAAGGAGCTCAAAATATGATATTAATGTTAACTGAGGTTATTAGTGGACTCTGGAGATCAATTATGTTAAGTTGGACTCATAATACTTCTAGTCATCACTGATTGTTCCAAGCTTTTGTATTTTCCTATACCATTGTGCCTTTACTGGGAACTGTTCTAATATTATTGAAGTAGCATAGGTAAGATAATGAAATCCAGCTCAATAAGTTATTGTAGGGATATGCAAACTGATTCCTGAGAGAGATGAGAATCTTTATTTTATGGACACTTTCAGCTTCTCACCAAAATTCAAGCCTCAGATTGTGAGGCCAAATTTTGTAGTTTTATATAGACTTGCCACGTACTAATTTTGTGGAATTAATTTTTATTTATTTCTTTTTTTTCTAAAGGGGAGATCGATGGATTTCACCCTTCCTCCAAAAGGAGGCTAGAACTCAGGCATCAGCCCAGCCTAGTAAGCTTTTCTCTTAACACTAGAGCCAGGCTTTGGCCTTACGGAGTTGGGTGCATTGCATTGTGTATTATGAAGACCTAGATAGATCGATTTGTAATGGAGATTAATGTAAATTATCCAACAGAATATTTTGTACACCAATGAAATTGGAATTTGGTGCTGAGGAACAATTAAGAAGTACTTCCCATGCCTTGGATTCAAAGTATGCTCCTATCCACCTATTTTGTGAGATCTGTTATTTTCTTAACCAGGCAGATTAGAGGACTGCAGGATCAAATGTGTTAGGTTGGATTCCCTAATACTTCTAATCACGGTGACTTAGCTGTAAACTGGCATTAAGGTTCTTTACTTCTGTAAACAAGGGTCATGTTTCTTTGAGAGGGGACACTTACAACATTGCATATACGCTTCGTGAAAATATTAATGACTGTCGTTAGATGCCAGATTGCCATAAGCTCTTTTATTCTTCTTTTGATTGGAACTTCAAAATGTATTGCCTTCAACGGTTAATAGTTACCAATTTTTCTGGAATTAACATTGGTTGAGACTACAAAATCGTTTTGACTGTATGCAAACTGATTCTAGAGAAAAGAAAATATTATAATGATTCTGAAGATTTTAAGCTTCTGGTGTGAATTTAAGCCCCTGTTTGATGGAAATTAAAATTTAGATTTTAATCTAAGTCAAAATTAACAATTTATTTTAACCACATTTATGGGTCCCACTACTTGTCAACCATACATCTCATCAACTTTTATCAAAATCTACTAAAAATCTGATTTAATCCCTACCAACAGAGGCTAAATGTCAGATTGGAAGGTCAAACTTTGTAGTTCTATATTAGCTGGCTATAGGTTTTGGGAGATGCTATAAGGGTGTACACTCGGGTTTACATCCCCTCACATGGAGGGAGTCCCACGTGTGAGGGGGTGTAAGCCCAGGCATACACCCCGGGGTGTACAGATAACAAAATCCATAGTTTTAATGTATCCAAGTTAATTTTATAATACCTCTCTCGAGTAGTTATTTCCATGACCTCACGATTTTTTATTGTTAGTACAGAAATTTCCTTAAGTACAAGTGACACAGAGCAAGTCTTTTTCTTTTTTACAAGTGCTCCAATAATTTGATTTGGCAAACACGAAAAGAAGGGAAAAACAAAGGAGGACAAGCACAAAATTCTAGGTTCCTGTTTCCACCATGTCAGCTTGTGAATCCTCCTATACTTTCATCACTACCACGTGGACCTTCTCCTTCCTCTCCCCCTGCCCTAGATTCTAATGCCATTGTGGTTTATTTCTTGACTTTTGAGAAATCCATCTGAGCTTTGCCACATACTGTTGGGGTTATTCTTCTTCAATCTACAGAAGTTGTTTAATCCTAAAGCTCGTGTTTTAATGGAGAACTTGCACTAATTTTTTTTTTCTATTTTACCTGTATTTTAATGCAGGGGGAACATAAGCAAGATTAAAAGAATTTTTTTCATGTCATCAATATCCACACCTGTCAACTTACACTCCAAACACCTGCAAGTATGTGTGCTTGACAATATCAATTGATACTCAAATTTTTGTGTAATGCAGCTGAAAGTTGTTCAGAACTTAGGACTCAAATAGTTAGGTGGACAACGGTCTGCATATTAAGACTTTCTTGAGTTTTGTTTGGAAATGAGCTGAGATCCTTTTAGATGTCGGCCTATCTCTGTTATCATGTTATGGAATCTGGAGGGAACTGTTTGCTTTTGGATTACAATTTGATGAGGGTCTAAGTTTCTTTGCCGATCTGCAATGAGGGCAGATAATTAATAATTGTCTGAACACAATAAATCTATTATTCTCTTCCTATTCTTTAATGTTGCAGAGTTAATTTTGCATGTTTTCATGGAATTTCCAACAAATGTCTTAAAAGATCATGGTTTTAAGTTATTTGTCTGTCAAAAATTTTAGATTATGGAATGCTTTCTGCACTGGTGCTGACCATTACAGACTGTTTGTTTGCAGATAAATATTTGTCGCGTAAGCCTGATTCTAGTTCCCTGCCTGGGGATTGGAGTAGATTTGCTAATCCAAACGATAATGGTTTTATTGGTGCTGTCAACCCTTTTGGGTATCATCCATTGCCTAAAGAGGAGTCTGCTTCTTTTGCAATGGCTTCAGAGTCACCCAGGATTCTGGACCCAAGACTGGAGGCTTCCAAGAAGTCTATGGGTTCAATCGCGGAGCTTAAAGAACTGGTGAGTTTTCATACGGTTAAAATTCTACAATTTATGTTTCCTACACTTGCTATTCCCCTATTCACATGCCGTCAGTCTCTACTCTTCAGTGCATGATGCAGGGCCTTGGTGTAGCATTCCAAACTCAACCTCAATTTTCTGCAAATCCAGGCCAGAAAAACGAAGTATATGCGCAGGTCAGCTATTTAGGTGGAGTTGGCAATTAAATAATATAAAACATTGTCTTGTTAGTGTTCATTATGCGGACTTCCTTTTCTGGGGTGATTAACGCCTTCTATACCTCTATCCCTCCCCTCCCCTCCATCTCCCACTATACCATTTAATAATTGTTAATATGAATTGGATACAACAGAATAATTTGTTCTCGTACTCTATTGAATTCTTATATTAGTTTCTTGGCCAGATTAATTATTGTGAATTTCGCGTTGATTTGCATTCACCATCATTTAGATTGCACAGCATGTCACTGGGAATTCTGAATTGGATTTATAATTGAGGCCGTTTAAATTTGATTTGATTTTTCAGTGAATTTGGTTTTAAGATCTTAATCAAATGCCTCTAGCCATGCTGTTGTATTTTGAAACATGGTTGAATTGAATCTTCAATGGTGCCATATCTACATCCATTAATCTGTTATTGGGCCATTTAGATTGTGAGATGTCTTTGGGTTCATAATGTAATCCTCATATTTGGAGGTTTTTAATGCTTTTCAATGTGCATCAGAATGGTGACTTACATTTTATAGAACTCGCTGGTTTTATTCAACTTTGGGCGCTTATTTTTCTTGTTAAACCAAAATGATGGTGGATAGTGGACGCATGAAGATTTTACCAATCTTATATGGCCTATTGACGTATACGCATAATGGTGATATATCCAAGTATATTTGTTAATAAATGGTGCTGTTTTGGGGATATTAGGTTGAAATTGATGGACAGGTATTAGGCAAGGGAATTGGACTAACAGGGGATGAAGCTAAGACACAGGTACTATTATGCCCTTTCCTGCTTCCTTCTTGTGTGTGTCTTCCCTCCCACATTCTTTTTATTCGTTTTAAGGACTTGAATGTTTTAAATTTTTTGTTCATTAAATTGCTCTTAATGTTTTTGAACCCAATACTATTTCCCATAGGCTGCTGAAAAGGCTCTTGGAACCTTGAGATCCATGCCCAGTCAGCTTTCTTACAAACATCAGGATTCTCCAAGGTTAGTGGGTTTTGCTGTCTGTCGACATTTGATTGCATCTGAATTTCAAGGTCATGAGAAATGTCTGGGATAACAGTATGACTCTGATTATGTACTTGTTTGAGTCATATGGCACATAGCTTTATTTGAAACATGCTAGAATTTGGGGGCTTTGAGTAAAGATAATCGCTCAACTTTTGCAAGGTTTGAGAAGAAATAATCAGAACCTCCAGCTTTCTTCTTTTGTTTGTTTCACGATGCTGGTTTTCCATGTTGAACAATATAGAAAATAAGTCACTTTCGTCTACATTTACGCACTCCATATATCTCTAATGAGTGCTGTCAGCTTCATAGAGCGTCTTTATGTACTGGATTTACAAATATGTCTACTAACTCCTTGTGGATCAGGTCATTGCAGGGGATGCCAAACAAAAGGTTTAAACCAGAGTTTTCTCGATCTTTGCAAAGGATGCCATCATCTGCAAGATATCCCAAAAATGCTTCTCCAGTGCCTTGAAACACACAAAAATCCATTTTCCTGTATGGATGTATAGCATGAGCCCATAGATTTTGTTACCCTACATGTTGAAGCCTGTAAATTGAAGGCAGCTGGCGAGATTAGGGTACTGCAGAAGTCTTTCTGGGTTTTGATACTATCCATGTACAACAAACTTTTAGAAGCCTGACGACATGCTTGCCCCTCTGTTCGGTTAAATGTTTTTTGTTTTGTGGAATATCATGGATTGTTGTATGATTATGTTGGCCTGAAATGCAAATGCTTGCAAGAAACCAAAAAAGAAGAACAGAAAAGAATAGAATAGATGGTCACTAGTCTTGCAACTTCTGTTTTGTGTGTGATGGCACAGGTCCATGATTTTTTAGTACAGGTTGTGCACGCGCCTTGTGGTGGAGTGCCCGAGGCATTCTCTAGTTCAGTGTAAGCAATTGACCTTGGTGTTCATCCAGGGATTTCATTAAGCTTCATCCGGAGGTTAAATATAACAGGTTTGGTCGATTGGCTTCTTCTGTTTCTTTCTTCCTGTTTAGTCACTGAACTGTGACAGAAAATTTTTGGTGAATATGTAACAGACCTGTCTTCAGTTGAACTAAGGCAGCGGCATGAATATTTAGAGCAGATGAATACAGTTTTCCTTCTGATATTTGGGTGGCTGACTGATTATGCTTCTTTACACATTAGTAGGCAGCCTCTAGTAGAATTTTTGCTAGGATTGAAAAGAATTAAGAGAATTAAAACCATAGTATATAAGCATAGATTATCTATGATCTCTCGTGAAGCCAACAATTTGCTCGAGAGATGTTGCATTAGATAGGATTGGATAGAGACTACGACATTTGTTAAATTAGATGGGACTAGATAGATAGTTGACAAGTTTTATTAGACGAGTGGGATTCAATAGTGGTTATGTTTTCAATTTTAATTGGATTTTAATCTTTACCAAAGGAGCACTTAACAAGTAGTAGCTTTCTTGGAAAAATAGGTCTCGACTTTTTAAGTTTAACCAAATATGTTTATAAGCTTACAAGAAATAATGTGGTTTTTTCTACAATCGGTCCAACTGCTTATGAGCAAATTTTAAATATAAAATAAACGAACCTCTTTAAAAAATAATTTTAGTGCGACCTATTCTCCTGCTATGATTTATTTCTGTTGTGAATCAGTTAATTCGAATTGAAGATATCATCTTTGTACCTAATTCTCACTGCCAATAGCGTGTAATCTAAGCATAATTTGTGCTAAAGTTATAAAGAAATAAGAAGCTAAATGTGCGGTGGACAAGAATGATTCTTGACTTTATTTCGAAATTTTCACATTTCTATGTACTTTTACCTTGCTCCTTATTTATTTACCTTGTGATTTAATTTTAAAGTTGGTTTCTCAATACTGTTTTTAATTTGAGTAGACTCTAGAGATATAACTTTCGTAACTAATTATTTGTAATATTAAGTCATGTTTGGTAGATATTAAAATTAGATTTTGATAAAGGTTAATGAAATGTATGGTTGATAAAACTTGTTTTCAACATTTGTTATTTGTGGGTAAAAGGTCTATCAAATGCTTAGCTTATGAATTGAACACGAACTTTGTGTTGCTACTTTCTATTGAAATTTGATATTGCAACTTCGATGAATATGATTGTTACTTTAGATTTGAGATAATTTCAACTTGGACTAAAAGAGCATGTCGACTAACCGAACCCAATCGATTTGGTTTAAGAACTAGAGTGGTTTGGATTGGATTGAAATTCAATCAAACCGACTAATTTGATTTTGGTTTCAAGTTAAGGTCGAAATCGATCCAAACCAAACTGTGTCTAGGCCTAAGTTTTACTGTAAAAATTTTGAGAATACTTATATAGGATTCACATAAGAATCATGCTACATGTACAATCTAATTTGACAATATTGATTGACAATTCACATTTGCCAACATCATGTTCATCCATTTCAAAAAACGTTTTTTAAATAAATGACTCGAATTTTGACAACACCAATATTGTCAAGTATGATTGTACAAATAACATAATTGTTCATGTAAAGCCCTTGTTTGATACCCATTATTTTTAAAAAAAAAAATTCTCTTATTTTCAACAATGCATTTTTTCAATAAAATAATATTACATGTATACTCAAATTTTTTTCTTATTTATTAATTAGGCATTCTCTATCAAATCACTATTTCAAAATGTATTTTTTGCAAATAATATTAATAATAATAGAGCTCAAACATGCTCAAAATATGGTAGAAAAAATTAAAAAGTCAATAACAAGCGTGTTTTAATTTTGTTACAACATGTTTAGCCCTTGTGGGGGCTCCATTAAAAATGCATTTTGAGAAAAAATACATTTTTGAATGAGTAATATTATTTATAGTGAAAATTATCGATACTCATTCTACGTGATATATATGTAACACTTTGTTATTTGATGCATAAGCTAAATTTGTACAGTTTTTCCTTCATGTATGGTTACTCGATGCTATGGAGGGATTCACTTTTATTTCGGCTCTTATACATGCGATCTAATAGAATGATTTTGTCGTATTCAAACTAACACCAATCCAAGCCATTTCATGAATAAATGAGGTCAATGTAGCTTGTCGTGCGAGCCTCTTACTGGGGTGTTCACGATTTTGATAGTTATACCAGTGATTTAGAGGTGATCTCTTGAAAAGTGTTTAGTGCCATTAAAAACTACCACATTAATGTATTAAATAATAAACCGCCATATGTATGCCACACATGATAGCTATCGATAATTTTCAATATGAATAACATTAATCTTTTTCAATAGTAATATTTTGAAGAATGTGTAGTTAAAAAAAATTGTTTACGTGTCATATTATTTTATTAAAAAATATGTGATTAAAAATTAGAAATAAAAATATATTTTCGAAGGATGAAGTCCAAATAGGGGCTTAATTTTGTTTTAAAAAAAAGTTAAATTTACACTTTTATAAACAACATTTAGTCTTGATTTGACAACAATGTTTTCAATTTTTTTATGTACTTATTTTTAATCACATATTTAGTTTACACATTGAAATATTCTATACGTAAATTCAATATTTTTTATATTTTTTAATTTCATATTTTTCTAAAAATCACTATACAAAACTCAAATTTTCCAAAATAGTGGCTATTGAACAGACGCTTCTTAACTAAGTAACTTTTAGATATGAAGAATTGAAGATGAAGTTCCCGTTTGACAACTATACTTTGCCCATGTTTGTTGTCCATTACTTTAAAAAAAAGGGTTTTGAGTAGTATTTTTAGAAGAATGTGTGGTTAAAAGTAGGAAAAAATCTTTTGAATTTACGTATAGAATATTTTGTGTGATTGTGCAGTTGAAAATGATCTCGGAGCAAAAAGAGTTCAATAAAGACTTTTAAAACTTTTTTATCTACACACTCATTTTTAATCACATCTACACAAAATACTATACACATAAATATAAATTTTTTCTTACTTTTTAATCTTTCATTATTTGAAAAAGTACTATTCAAAACTTTTTTTTGTTTTTTATAAGAAATATATGGCCACAACAGGGAAAGAAAGAAACAGTGAAAAGGAAAATGTGTATTAAGTCGCTGTTAGAGCCACGGTAAAATTTTTATTCTCATTCTTTTACTCATTTTTAATCATATATTTTTTAATAAAATAATATTTTCTATCACATCAACCATTTTTCCTTTTTTTTCAATCACACCGTCAATTCACTGTTCCTACCTACACACTTCCAGAATAACTTGACTCAACACAACACAGAATTAACCATCACATCTCACTCCGATTCATCCATTGCATATATACAGAGATTTTAGAGAGAGAATAGTAATTGGTGAGATCAATGGCATCATTCGATGCGTTTAGCATGGACGGCGATGCGTCGGCGCGTGCATTTGATGATGGTAGATTCACCGGTTACGCCGCCTTCACCATGCCTGACACTCCACCTTATTCCGCTGGCGGTGGCGACGGAGTGTATACTACGGAGTTCGAGGAGTCGGAGTATGTGACGGTAGATCACGTATCGCACTCGGTGGATAGTTCCGATCCTTTCGGATTCGGGTCGAGTCCTGATTCGGTCCCGGTCTCGAATGGCAACGGGAAGGCGCCTTATGATATTGGCCAAGATTCGGAGGGAATGTTTAGCTCTGACGGGCCGATCCTTCCGCCTCCCACTGAGTTGCAACCTGAAGAAGGATTCGCTCTTCGTGAATGGCGGAGGTCAGTTTTTTCATACTAGATCAGTAATGTGAATATTAACTATTTGATGCGGTTAAGTTCATAATGTTGTTAGATCTATTGCTCAATGAAAGACAACCTCTACTTATTTTCTAATCGGACTCCAGGTTTGTATTATCAGTTTATTTATATTTGATTTGAGGAGGTCTCTGTAAATTTTTTGGACTTCAAGATTTGAATTTTTCGTTTGATTGGCTTGTGCTGAATATTGGAAAGAAAACGGAGGAACAGAGAACATCACAGAAATGATGCGATTCTCTCTCCTCTCTCGATCTTTTTTGCATTTATCAGATGATGATAAATTGGCGTAACTTAAAAGGATCTAGCTTGAAATATTGAAGTATGATTTTGGGTCTTGGCATTGCTTGCTTATTTTTATTTTTCTTTCTTGGAACATTTATTTGTTCCCCTTCAACTTTGTCAGATAAACCCATGAATCCAGTTGTAAATATGATAGAAAATAGATCTCATTGTTTTATACTACTCAGTAGGTTTCACATGGCCATCTGATTGGTTCTAACCCCCATCAACAGTTTGGATTGTTACCTTGTTTTGAAATTCAGCTAGCTCAAGATAAGTATGGATTCCAATATGATTTTTTTCTTTATAATTAAGAATCCTGAAGTTTTTATAGACAAAATCACACGTTGGAGAGTTCTGTTCATGATCTGTTGATTTGAAATCTCGATATTTGGTTTGATGAGTTGTGGAGTTTTTATGGATTTTTAGATATGTAGTTGGGAAGAAGCAAAATCTATTATTATCAAGCACCACTAAAATCCGTCAAATCCTAGGTTGGCTGCTTGCAATTTTATGTGACAGGTTCTTAGTTGGTTTTTAAGTCAATTCTGGTAGGAGTTGAGTCTGTTTTCGAGTGAGCTATGGTTGGAAAGTCAAATATGGTGCCTGTTTCAATTCTTTCGTTATTTTCTTCAAGACAAATAACATTCTGATGGAACTATGTAGCAATCAAGGTCTTCTGATTCTATAAACCAAAAATTAACAAAGATAAGAAACCGGACGAAATTCTTCTGCCACACTGTCTCTTGCAACTCTTTGTGTTCATACTTCTCCTTTAGTCCATGAAAAGAGAAACTGTTTAATGCCACTTTTCTTGTGTAGACAGTTTTCTTCTCTACTCGGTTCCTTGTTACAATCTTTAAATAAATGAGGAAAAGAAGAGGACACAGTTGTTAATCGTTAAAACCGTTGCTTCTCTGTCTTTAAAAGCATAAATGAAATGAAACGTGTTGATAAAAAGATGGTCACAACTTCTACTCATAAATATGCTTTTTTGGAGCAGGCAAAATGCCATCCGCCTTGAGGAGAAGGAGAAGAGGGAAAAAGAGTTGCAAGCCCAAATTATACAAGAAGGTGAAGAGTATAAACAAGCTTTCTATGAGAAAAGAAAGCTTAATGTAGAGACCAACATGACCTCCAACAGAGAGAAAGAGAAGGTTAATCTTTCAAGAATTGTTCTCCTGATTTTATGATTATTTGACAGAGAAATTTTGATTTGATAAATTGCTACATTGAACAGTTATACTTGGCCAATCAAGAAAAGTTCCACAAAGAAGCAGAAAAGCAATACTGGAAAGCTATAGCGGAGCTTGTTCCTAATGAGGTACCCAATATTGAGAAGAAGGGAAGGAAGAAGGATCAAGAGAAGAAGCCATCAATAACTGTCATTCAAGGGCCCAAACCTGGAAAACCTACCGATCTTTCAAGAATGCGCCATTTATTGGTGAAGCTGAAGCATAACCCTCCACCTCACATGTTACCGCCTCCACCTACTCCGGCCAAGGATGGGAAAGTCAACAAAGATGGAAAAAATGTCAAAAACGAGAAAGATGTGGTGCGTAGTGCAACTGGATCAGTGGCTAAAGAGGCTCCCAATGCACCTGCAAAGGATGCAACTTCTAATGGTTCTTCACTCTCTACTGAAGAACCCATTACTCCAGCCAACGGCCAGCCTGCTAGCTGATTTCATCAATTTGATTATTTACTTCACAGTCTTCCCTACATAAAGGTTCTCTTTATCTCCGTGATTCTAAATGTCTTATTTCATTCATGCCAGTTTGCTATACCAATGTCTACGGAAGATAGAGAGTATAGTTGAAGACATGTTCCTACATTTTTGAGCTTTTATCAATTGAGATTTGTGTTGTTGTGTGCTAATTGTTTGATGAATATTATACATGGTTTGATACCGTAATCTTCTTTTCTGGTGTTTTTTCTTCATTAGGATCTGAATTGCCTGTTAATGCTGCTAAAACTTATCTTCTCTGGTGTTAGGAAAGATAGAACTGATCTCTTCTATCTTTTCCTCGGAACCTTTTTTTTTTCCCTATTCGTTTTAATTATTTAATTGAGTTAAAGTGTTTATCTATTTACGCGTCAAAAAGTAAGCCATGCGATTTTAATGGTCCAGCTGATGGAAACACTCTTGAAGACCAACAAGTTACAAACTTGATGTGTATATTTCTATGTTATGATATGTTGATAATTGTGATGAAGTTCGTGTTATTGTCGTTAATAATCATTAAAAACAGCATGCTCTTAATAATTGTTAAGAAATGAACACTCGTGCACTAGAAAATTCACTTAGGTACCAAATTTACAGAGGAGAATTACATGAACTAGAATGGGTAGGGAAAATAACACAAAATCAAATTGACATAAAAAAAAAAGTTAAAACAGATAAAAGGGTGACTGAGTTTCTTGGTCATGCCCCCATCTGTTGTGTTAAAACATCAAGCTTGTTGGCCCCAGGTTGCCCAATTAGCCTCACTCCCAACCCTTGGCATGCTATTAACTTTAGAGTAGGCATCAACCATGAAATTGGCTCCACACATTGCTCCTTCACTGTCAATTCTGGGCATGGCTTTCATTTTGTTCATTGGATGCTCAAAGCTCATCAATCCTCTTTCACTATGGTACATACACCCTGCATTCATCCAAACATTGAGTTGCATGACGCATGCATCAAAACCATCGTCCTTAAGACTAAAGAGTCAGTCACAAAAGGGGATAAAGCAATTTGTTCCTAGATCTCGTGGAGTTGGAATCTCCAGAAAATCAAGAATTCTTACAATGATATTCCAACTCAACACCTATTGAGCGATATTTTGAGAAGAGTCATTTTTTGGATCGAGCTTCACGATGAAAGTTATAAGTAGTTTTGGGGTATACACAAGTACACTCTTCCTGATTTTACATAAAAACAGTCTCAAATCCAAATAAAGGAGAAGGTTTGTGGATTGTCTTTGTGTGCAACACATTTTCACATTCTATCATGTGAATACTTATTTCAACATACCTGGTGGGAATGGAGCAAATGATTTTCTGCAGCTAGATTTGATGAGATCCACATTATCAGAGATCATAACAGATCCATCAGATGCTATGCCCCAGAAGAGCTTCAGCGCATCATCAGCACCCTGCCCATAACAATATCAAACAATTTTTAATTTTTTTAAAATTACTAAAATTATTGAGAATAATCAATACTTACAAGGGCAGTAAACACAGTTTCAGCCTTGTGATCATAGATCACAAATCCAAAGCTTCCTTCAAGATCCTTAAGGACCTGATGAGCCGGGTATGGGCCCCGGTCTCGGAGGGTCCGATATGCTTCAATTACAAACATGGCCTCATTGCCACCCTTTGATAGGCCATATTGCTTGTTAAGGGTGCACAAGTTGTTTAAACTCCCCCAGAAAATGCAGTAAATGTCATTTACACCACAGAACAACCTGCAATATCATAGCCATCATACAGCAAAGACATTTTCCAACAGAAAGTCAAAATGATTTTATATTTAAGCCATTGATAGACAAGAAAATAAAGAAACATAAGATAAAAAAGAGGGTGATTATACCTTTGATGTGCCTTGAATGAGGGTTGAGGTGGGGCATAGGCCAATAAAGCCTTGTCATCAAAGCCAACAGAAAAGCCATTGCAGGCATCAGATAGAAAACCCTTCAATATCTCCTCGGAATTCTTAGGGTTAATAGAAGCTTGAGGTGAAGCTGGGCTATTCAATTCCTGTGGTGGATTTACCAAACCCTTCTTGAATATTGCCAACATTTTCTTTTTCCAACAAGAAAATCTTCAAAAGAAACCAAATTGAATGTACCCACACAGTTTGGAAAATGTATACAGGATGTGAAGTCTTGGTGCAATGTATCGAGTATTTATAGTATAAATTGGGGAGCTAAAGTAGGTGGCAACATTATCCAACACTAAAAGATAATGAAAAAAGTAAAATTTGGGCTCTCAGATCAAGTGATATAAAATTATTTTGTGGGTTTAGATCTCAATTTAGAGCCTGTTTGGTACAAATTCTCATTTTCTACAATAAATCAATTTTCATTTTCAACCACACATTCTTCAATAAAATAATATTTTCCATCACATTAATATTTTTTTCTTATTTTTCAACCACACATTTCCCATCATATCACTATTCAAAAATCAATTCTTCCTCCAAAAATCCCTACCAAACACACTCTTAGATTACTAATTTGTGAATCTTGAGGATTATGTGATAATAAAGATGATAATTAAAATTTATTTAGGGATGATTAGATGGTTTAAGGAAAAAAAATGTTTTGAGAAATGGGGGGAATTGGTCAGTAAGTCTTATCCACAATTACAGGTGACTATGACACATTTCCTAGTCAGCAAAAACCTTTTGTTGGTGTAGATGCGTGAAATTCGCTTCCTATTTTCTATTTAGGGTTCGTATAATTGCCGGTGTGAAAGATGGGTGAAAAGAAAATAGATTTCAAAGAAAATAATTGATTAGAAAATGTTTTGTAGGGAATTATTAATTAAGTGTGTTTGATTGTTATAATTTTTCACCCAATTTTTTTTAAAGAAAATGAATTTCAGATAAAGTAATTGTTTAGAAATTGTTTTGTAGGGAATTGTTAATTTAGTGTGTTTGATTGGTATAATTTTTCACCCGAAAATTTTTTAAATTTTGTGTTCGTTTGACTTTGTTTTAGATGGAAATTGTTCATTAAAGTGATAATTTTTTTTACAATTGATTGTAAAATTTGTTTCCATTGCCAAAAGGTGAAAAAAAAAACATTCCTAAAAAATTATTTTTTTTATCAAAATTTAGTGTTGACTTTGTTTTACATGAAAATTGTCCATTAAAGTGAATTTTTTTTCTTATAATTGGTTATAAAATTTGTTTCCATTGAAAAAAAAAAAGATGGAATTCCATTTTCCCATGTGAAAAAACAATTCCCAAGAAAATTGTTGCCATCAAACAAACAAATTGGTGGAAGATGGAATTTGAATTCCTAGTTTCATGGAAAAAGTTGTTTATCAAATACAACCTTATTGTTAGACGATTTCTCCCGTTCTCTATCTTTTCTTTCTTCCTTTAAAAAAAAATAAAAAAATTAAAAGCTTATTTGAGCTCCATCAATTTTTTTTTACAAAAAAATACATTTTGAAATAGTGCTATGATGGAAAATGTATGGCTAAACAATAAGGAAATTTTTTTTGTTTGCGTGTAATATTATTTTATTTAAAAATATGTGATTGTAATGAGGTCAAATCACTGTTCAAGAATGCATTTTGATGAAAAATGAGGCTCGGGCTAATTAAGTAATCTTACTCTGGAAAATATTATGTAGTTTTGGAAGATTTTTATTTTTTTATTTTTAATCAAGATTTGAAATATTTAGAGATAGACATTATAAGGCTTATTGCCACCCCGTATGATAAGCACAATATGAATGAAGGATATGTCCTAACTCCTAAGCTTGTACTTGTTTCTTGAATCTAGTATTGAATTGTCCCTCAATTACAATTTAAATGTGAATTTTAGAATGACAAAATTTAATGATTCTACAAAAAGGCAAATTTGTTCTTTTTAACATTGATTAATCTTTTGACTATACGATTTGAGACGGTAGAAATAAAAATAAAAATAAATTAGAATGTTACTATCAACCTAGTCAAGCAGAGACATGGAGCTTTTCAACCCATTCCATACCATGAATCACATTGGTAACACCTTAAAGGTATTGCTCGTTATAACAAAGATATATTTGTTTTTAGATAAAAGTACATGTAATTGTCAACTTAGAATTAAGGAAGTCTTTTCTCGCACAAGATAAGAACACCGTTGTAATAGCATATATCACAAAAAGAACATATCAAGTGGAAATGGAGTGGGGTCTTTAGCTCAGACGATTAGAGCACGTGACTACGAATAACGATGTCAAGAGTTCGAATATCTCCTCCCCCACAACTGGCCAAAAAGGAAATTGAAATTCTTTTGGGGGTAGGAAAATCATGATCGGGAAAGCAAACAAATCAAAAATACAACTAAACAAGCAATTAACTGGTCATTTACGAAAAAGTTCTTAATCTTTCAAGTACATTTTTTACAATTGTGGCAATGCCCTCCTCACGCGCATACGACGGGAGTTTTACATAGCTGGACATGAACCCCGTTACCCCAATATTGCCTTCTTACCAACCGAAATGGTAAGAAGTCAAAAGCATAGAACCAGACACAAGAGCCAAACAACACAACGATGCTTCTTAGTATCGTAACGAAATGATCATCATAAGACAAGATGTAAAGCAATAGACAGACACACAAAACCGAACATAAACAAGCTAAATGTTGTACCATACACGTGATAAAACAGATTGTTAACTAGGAATGTAGCAGAGGACTAAAGGTGGAACCTCAGCCACAAAGCAGTAGAGCAGTATATTGTCGAGCCACGTCATAATGCCCAAAACAGTGAAAAAAGAAAGATTTTGATAGCTCATAATGCCCAAAACAGATAATAGATAAGAAAACAAGAAATCTTTCAATATTAATATGGGGAAGGGTGGCAATGACACAAGATACGCAGGCATGTTTTATAAACTTTGCCAGAAAACTATTAGCATCATGCATCCAATTGTGCATTTTTATAGAGTGCTCCTTCAAAAATCAATTAATCATCATTAATTAACAGTTTAGCACAATAATGCCTGATGGGCTGTGATGGCATTTAAATGTGTTCAGTTCATTGGGCTATGATGAAATTGGGCAAAGCCCACTTGCCAGAATTAATTGGCCACTGCCCAATAACTCAAAATGGACCTTGCCCAAACTCGGGCCCAACTGTGGATGAGACGTGTGCTGCTTTGGACCGTTTGATCAACTGGTGAGATCTACAATGATGAATGTTGGGGAGTGGTTGTCCTAATCAGTTTTTTCTTCTGATTTCTGCAAGAAGCTTTTGGGGTTTTTTTCTCTATGTGTGTCTTCTCTTATTATTTTCGTTGTCTACTGCGTGTAGTACTAAAACTTCTGGTTTTGGGTGAAAATCCGAGTGATTAGAGTATTTGTGATTCTTCGTTTAAGGGTTTCGAGTTGAGATCAATTTGTTGATCTTGTGTCCATTGAAGTAGCTGCGTGTGTCGATTCATTTTTTAGGGCTCGTGTTTTGTGGTTGTTTCGTTTCGTACAGAATGGTACAATGCATTTTCTGATCCCAAAATAATCTAAATCCCTGACGTTGTATCTTTTATTGATCAGTTGTGTTCTTCAGTATTCTGGTTTCATTTCGAGCTATATCAATGCCAATTCAAGTGTCCAACAAGAAATTGAAGTTATGCTTCTGCTCTGCCGAGTGACACCATTACATACAACATAAGTTAATTTGAAATTCACATGGAAATGTATTAACATAACTTTCTAATAGTTTGGGAACAACACGTCCATTATTATTATTATTAATTTATTATCCAAAGACCTTCTCCAGATTACCTATAATAAACCAATCGGTACATTCTATTAATTACCAAAAATATAATCAAACTCACGTTCCAGCATGTTTTACTGACGAATTCTTAAATATAGTTTGAAGCGTAAGTAATTCACTTTGGGGGATATCGATCAATTAAAGGCTCCTCCTTTTTGCCTGAAGCTATTGTTAGATGCAGAATCGTAATGTAATCACGAAATTAACCCGAATTTCTAACTACGATTATCGGCTTGCATAGGTCGGTATATAAAATGACCTTATGACGACGAGAACTTCAATCTTTGGATGAATCGTACGATGTAGATCTCATGTCATCTTTTCCGCTGTAACAAGGTATTTTGAACCATAATACACGATTTCCACTGAAGACGAAAGCGTATATTTGGTACGGATCTCTTCTACGTCGGTACTCTACACTAGCAAATGTATGGATGGGGAAAAATTTAAAAAGCTTGATCCATTTCAAAATTAAAATTTAAGATTTCAAAAATCAGATATTAATTAAATTTTATTTAACAAATAATTAATTAAATATATTGAGGTGACAATTTTATATTATTTGGCTATAAATTATCGAATTAATTGGTTACAAATTATTTTCTTGATCACGAATCAAAAATTTTATAGGTCACAATTTATTCATTAGTCATAAATCACAAATTTTATAAGTCACTACTCAAAAATTTAAGTCACATATTATTTATTGGTCATAAATTAACTAATTTATTAATCACAACCAACCAAATAATTGATCACAAACACTCCACTCCATCCCACTCATAACCACCGTCGACCACCAGTCCACCACCAACAATGCAATCATCCCACTAGCACCACCTCACCACCACAACCAACATCACAATCACCATCACCCAAACACCACGAAAACATATTTATCAGTCACTGTCGCGACCACCAGCACCACTAACATTACCACCACCATCAAAAAACTTTGGCACCTAGAAAAATGATACATTGCTAGAGGGGGGGTTACCGAATTTTTTACCCCCTCCCCCCTCACAAAAGCGCGGGTCCCATGTGTTTTAGAAAATATCGGCCCGTGGTCCCCACCCCCTAATGTGAGTGGAGTGTAAAAAATTTGGTAAAAAAATTAGTAAGTGTAGCATGACTCTTGGCACCTATAGTTACTAAGATCCAAAACCAGATTTCTCTAGATCGCAGTAGGCCAAAGCCAGATTTCTCCACTACAGTGATGACTAAGATGCCGCTACTAGAGGAGGCTATACAACGGAGAAAGACAGAGGCGTTGCTACTAGAGAGGAGGCTACATAACGG